TTTTATTAATCCTACATACAAAATGACTTCTTTTTATTTACATTTATATTGTTTTGAGACAGGGTCTTGCTATGTGTAGATCAGGCTGGCCTCAAACTCAGGGCAATCCTCCTGCCTCAGCCTCCTGAGTGCTGGGACTACTGGTGTGCACTGAAAGAAACTTTAGGCAGGAAGTCCAATAAATCACTCAATAGGTGCAATGCCTGAGGGGTGAATAAAACAGAATTACTGCATTTCTGGCTCACTTGTACCTGACAGAGAGTCTAAATGTACTGTAGAGGGTCCCCTGCAGCCAGACATAAGATCAGTTCCCAGTTTTGCCACGTGCTAGCTGTGCAAACATGAGCAAGTCTTAACCTTTGAATCTGTTTGTGCACTTTTAAAATGGGCCAGTAGTGTCAATTTTTCAGTGCCCAAGATTCCACTGCCTGCCTCACAAGCACAAGGACCCGAGTTTGATTTTTGACACCAAAAAAAAGCAAAAACCCTACCTCTCACTTCTTGAGACTGGAACACTCAAACACCTGAAATGAGACCCACACACTGAAACTCAGGACTTTTAGCTGCAATAAAAGCTGCCAATTGACCAAACCAGGGTTCAGCTCTCAAAGAACATAACCAATGTTTATCCTTTGCTCAGTTACATAGGAAACATACTCAAATGTCACTAGATGATATGTAGAAATCCCATGATTTTTCCTTTCAGTATCTCTCAATTACCCTCTTCTTTCATTCCTAACACCCAATACCAACAGTAAAAGCACCCAATGCTGGTACTTTTAGCTCACACCCCGAATATAGGAACCTTTAGGATTTCCAGGCCTTCCTTCTTGCAATCTGTTATGCACAGGAGACTTTCTTCATCAGCTAAAAACCTTCTGAGGCTTCTTAAGGACCAGATCAAACTCAGGATTTTCCTTACCTGACTCTTATTTCTCCTTTTTTATTTGATCACAGTTTAAACCCTCACATGACAGTCTAGGACCTTACTGTTGCCTTCCAATCTCAAACAATCAGCATAATTTTCCCTACCCTAAACATCCTCTCTTCTCTTCACCAAGCAGTCCTGTCCATCTCACAGGGCAGAATTCAAATCTCAACTCTGGCACACACTTCTCTCTGATGCTAGCTCTTACCAGCCTCTTTCTTTCCTGAATTACTCTAGTGATTGCAGTGTACAACAGAACTCTAATATTCCATGAAATACCAGTTCACTACTGAGAAAGAACAATTGTTTGATCTTGGATAGATCATTTAACCTCTGTAGACCACAACTTCTTCATGTGTAAATATGATAAAAGTGTAAGTTAAGACATTTTTAAAAGTCTCTTCATTCTACAAATCCTGTAAATTAATATACTGCTTTGTACCATTTCACATATTAATCTCATCTCTCTTATGGGATTTTAGAGCTGATGAAGGAACAAAGTACATTTTACACTTCTCCAATTCTCAAAGCAACTGATCCCAGGATCTGGCTCAAGGAAGTGCTCAGTAAGTGTGACACTGAAATAGGCCAAGTAGCACCAAGGACAACAGGACACTGCAAAGAGCCAAAAGTAACACAAGACCTATTTCTCAAGTAGATTCAGGAAGCTGTAAAGGTGGCAACTTCCCGCCAGAGAAGATACCCAGGTGATGCAGGCAGGGGTGGTTCTCTTCTAGAACTGAAACAAGCAGGAAGCCAGCTCTTGAATAGAATGAACACAGGGTTAAAAGTTCTTTTAACTCTTATGCAGCACTATCTGCCACACATTCACCCCTACACAGCAGCTCCAACTTCGGTAAACTCAGGCAGTTTTATGTGACCTGGGGTAGACTACTCAGGGTTGTTTTTTGGTACTCACGAACAAATCCAGAGCCTGGTCAGTGCTAGGCAGACTCTCCATCACTAAGCTACATCCCCAACCTGTTTTTCAGGAGTCTTGTCAGTGGAGAAATGTGGGACTATCTCAAGCCTCTGCTCTTTTTTGGGGGGGGTACCAGGGATTGAACTCAGGTCCTTGTGCTTGCAAGGCAGGAGGCAGAACCACTGAGCTAAATCCCCGGCTCAAGCCTGTGCTATTTTTAACGAGGGGGAAAAATTAAGTGCACTTTCAGCCATGCAAGAATTGAAGCCTGCAAGAGAAGCAAGTCCTTCCATTTTAAAGACCCAGTGCCTTTCCTTCCTTCATCAAGAAAAGCACAGGCTTACATAAGGGGAAAAGTAACAAAGCTATCTTCTCTCAGGGCAGTAGCAGGTCAATGTATAGATAAAAAGTAAGGAAGCAAGAGCAGGTCAATGTATAGACTAAGCCAGGAGTGGTGTCTCATGCTTGTAACCCCAGGATTTGGGAGGCTGAGGCAGAAGGATCATCACAAGTTTGACGCCAGCGTGGTCTACACAGTGAGTTCAAGGCCAGCCTGAACTATGTAACAAGACCCTGTCTCAGGAAGAAAAAAAGTAAGGAAAGGGTCTGTTGGACAATAGTCAAATGTTAAAAGTTAATCAGGAACTCCAAGATACCGAGGGCATGTACTCTTGCTGAACTCTAGCTAGAGCCAGAGGGCAAAGATTATTTTGTTATCTTGAAATGAAGTGTATTCCATACCCAAATGCATATGTCTTCTTCAAGGAAAGGCAAACAAATATACTTCTATTTCAATCAAAGTTAATGGTCAATGCTATCCCAGCCACTTCCTCACATGGTTCAGCTTACAGCTAACATCCCAAAGTGTTATCAAATTACACAAAAGCCAGTCAAATGGGGATGCTTTACTCCTTGAAGAAACAAATGAGGAAAAACTTTTGTTTTTAAACTAACAGCTCTTAAGGCAAGTCCCGCCTCTTCACTAAACTGTTATGAGACAAAGGGCAGCTACTGTATTGACACTTTTGTTTTTTTTTTTTTTTTTTGGAGTAAAGCCACAGCATTACTAACAAACAGCTAATGGCTACCATTCAAAAGAAATAATGGCATTATGACTTCATATCCCAGTTATCTACCAAATTGGAAGGAACCAAGTATATGTAACTTTCTCTCTTCTCAAATAATATCTGAAAATAAATGTTAGCACTGATTCACTTTCTCCTTCATCGTAAAAATGGGGCAGGGGGAATATCACATTCCCTGATTATGGAATGAGAAAGGTTTTAAACTGGTTCTAAATCTGCATGATTTAAGGTGAAGACCTTATAAAATGCTGACAGTCTAAGTCTAGGACAAATTTCAGAGCCAGCAATCGGAAAACACTGTTGTCTAAAAACAGACTTCAAATCCCTAGTTTTATTTTAATTTGCTAATTTAGTGCTAAATATGCACTTGGAGTAAAAAATAAACCACTATCCTTTCAGGTTCAAGTTCCTAGGCTGAGCTTATAGAAGGGGAGGGAAGAACTGGTCCTGAAAGGATTTTGTACAGGCTACAAATGTGGGTAGTTGAGTAGCCAGTCTCACTATGATATCACAAATGGATTATCTGCTGCAAACAATAATCACTCACAAAAATATCAAATTATCTCTATACATCAATGACACAGTAATTTAGTAATCTAAGTTGTCCTTCCTCATCTAGCTCTCTAAGGAACAGAAGATGTATGAAGAAACAATACATATATGTCTTTCTAAAAGTTATAGCTCACTGTCTGCTTCATGATCAACTGTCGTGTTTGTCATAACACCCACAAAGAGTTTAGAGTTTAGTGTTACAACAAAGTTTTCTTCTCCCTTAAGAGCTTCTCAGTATCATATGAAGTCCAACATACATCCTTTTTTTTTTTGGTACTGGGGATTGAACTCAGGACCTTCAGCTTGCGAGGCGGGGGCAGAACCACTGAGCTAAATTCTTGGCCCTAATCTACATCTTTAACTGTAAGAAATGACTGCAGATAACTTCAGAATAGAATTTTTACTTTTTGTTTTTTGAGACAGTGTCACTATGTAGTCTCGCTATGAACTCACTATATACTCCAGGCTCGCCCCAACTCTCAATCCTCCTGCCTCAGCCTTCTAAGTGTTGGGATTACAGGCATGCACCAGCCTGCCTGGCACATTTTTGCTTTCTATTAATTCTATGAACATCTTTCCTTCAGGGGTACTAAACAAATGAGTGGCAAATTCCAACAACTGAACTAAGGCTCCCAATAAAGAATGTCAAGACTTGATGCACAGTGAACATTCAAATGTTAAGCTTCAGCTTTTCCTCAGTTAAAGTCAACACACTCTCCAATAACAGCTCTGCAAAGATAAAAGATAAATTACCTATCCAAATGGGCAGACTGCTCCAGTTGACTGAGTAGACAACATAATTAACAGTGCCAGGTGGGGAGCAAATGCTCATGTAAATAGTGGGGCTCAAAATAAGCTGCAAACTGTGAAGAAGCTTATTTCTAAACTGTCAGATTTCTTTTGTGCAATCAGATTTTAATACGGAGTAACTGCTCAAATTTAAGAAAATCAAAATCTGACCTGTACAACAGCAAACTGGACCTTATTATTTAGAATTCCATTAGTTTTTTTTTCCCCACAAAGAACAATGAGTTTTAGCATATACTTCTAACACCTATAAAGCAGAACAATTAATTTCTAAACTATCATGATCATATTTAAAAATACAAAGTCTTCTGGCTCTATAAATTAAGACTAAATATTTCAAGTTTAGGTCTTAAAAAAAATTCGCTGGTTTTTTTTATAAACTCTATAAAGTAAGTCAATCTATTCATACCCCTCCTTTCTATATTCTTATTACTTTGACTTTTTCTAAAATATTACCAGTATCAACAAATACTCCAGGCAGTCACACAAAGGCAGTTAAAGACCACACATCACACAACTCTCTTAAGTCATACGGAATGAATATTCTGCCCGGCATCTATCACAAGCTAGCTAACAAATCAAACCTGATAGTAAATGTTGAAAATGTGCAATAAAAGAACAGCTTCTTTTGTGTTACCAGAGTGAAAGAAGGCAGAGGAGCACAGGGAGAGGTGATCTCAGCATTGTGCTTGGCATCAACACTTACCTTCAGGATGTCCCCCCTTTTGAAGCTCAGCTCATCGTCTGCAGTAGCTTTGAAGTCATATTTGGCGATGGCTTCCATTCTGAGCGCTGCTCAGTGCTCAGCAGCCTGAAGCACGGGGGAAGGGAGTCTTCCCTGTTGAAGCAACCTAGTGCTCTGGGCTCAGCCTCACCTCTCTTCTGGAGCTACTCCTGCACGTTGAGAAGCACAATGCCACCCTGAATCAGAAGAGGGATGATTAGAAGTAGCCAGGATCCACGGCAGCCCCGCCCTGCCAATCGGCCTGCCGTCCCAGCCCCCACGCCCCCTGGCTCGGCTAGGCTCAGCCCTCCTCCTCCCTTCCAGGCAACAGCCCGCTCTCCTTCTTCCTCTTCTCAGCCTCAGCCCCAGGCGACTGACAGGCCCGGCGGCCAATGGCAGCAGCTTCTCGAGCTATTCCAGAACATACTTCCTCTTCCCTCCCGCTGAGTATGCTTGAGGTGCGGAACCGGCTGGAGTCCCGTTCAGTCTCCACCTTTCCTCTGGCACCCCTCATACTTTTTCTTGCGTTCCAAATGCAGTTACAGTACACAGAAAGGCCCACCTGAGGGTTGCACCTGGTTCTTCTCCGTTAAACAGGCCTAACTCCCTCTCTTCTCAAAAACGCTTCTGGCTTCCTGTGAACACTGCCTCTCCTACTCCTACCTGGTCCCAAGCAAGCCATGCAGGCTTTAATCTCATGCTGCTCTACTTGCTTCTCAAAAGTGAATCTTGGGCCAGGGATTTAGCTCAGTGGTTCCGCCACCTTCCTCGCAAGGGCAAGGACCCGAGTTCGATCCCCAGTACCCCCCCCAAAAAGTGAATCTTATCACCATGAGCATCCGTGGCTTTCCTGTACCATCTCCAAACTGTGATCAGCCTTTCAGGCCAGCAGAGAGAGATACCTGGCTGAGAGCTCTTTGGTGAATTATGCGTTCATAGGCTCCCTGTTCCCTGAAGACCCCCCCCCAAATTTTGGGGTTACCACTAGTCCTGAAAACAAGCTCAGCATTCCAGAAATAGCCTCTACATTATTTCTAACTTGCCTAAATAATACAGCTGAAGTCATAATCTACACTTGGAAAGAATGCCTTTTAAAGAACCCAAACTGCCAAATATTTAAATCTGGGGAAAGAAAGTACTGGGAGTGGTGTCAGAAAGTCAAACTGAAGACACAGTTACTCTAAGCACAGTTTCTTTTCTCCGAAGAAAGAAAAAGACACAAACTGCATTCTGTAAGGTGGGAGACAGATCAGAACCTCTGAGCGGTGTATTTAAGTTATGATGGGGGCAGTATGATCACTACTGCAGTGAAGGTTCTCCCACCTCGATCATGGGACGCAGCTGAGACCTTTGCCTACCTAACGGAAAATAAAGCTTCATTCTTGTTTTTCTACACTCTAAACAAAAGCAGAAAACAAAGGCACTGGCAGAATAAGGACAGATTATTTATAGTGGAACCTTTCTTGGACATTTAGCATCTAGCAGCTCATTCGAGGAGCATGAGTGATTGTTATTCTTTTGTTCAAAAGTTAATAATTGGGGCATTAATCAAAGCACAGCTACAAACAGAGGAGGCACTAAACCAGCTGAGAATATTCAGATTAGTCCAGGGTATTACCCAGAAGGAAAGAAATCACCTGATAAGAAGTTCTTCCAATAAATTCTGAAAGCCAAACATTCTGTTGCAGGTAACTAATAAACTAAGCCAATGTTTGTTTTTTCAGAACACACCTAAGCTATTATATGTGGTGCTGACTTAAAGATGAAAGTGAAGAGTTCTAGTGAATTTATTTGTATATTTTAAAAGTATGTATTTTATGCATTTATACATAAAAAGATTAATCTCTATATCTACATTTGTGTATCTTTAAAAGACCTTTACTTACACTCTGTAGTTTTTTAATCAAACTAATCCATATACATAACTTTAAAAGTCAGAGTATAAAACAGCTTACAAGCAGTTCCCTACCAATATCTGCATGCAATCATCCTGTTTTGTTTTTAGCCTTCTCTTTGTATTTATTTACAGTACTTCCAAATATCTTTCTATTGCTGTTTCTTAATTTATTAGTCATCCACTCCCTAAAAAGTGAGGATTCAGCTGTTTCACTCCAATCTCTCCCAATTTCCCCCACAGAATCCTACTAGTATTACATATTCCAGTCTCATCAACAGCAATGCAAACAGTAATACATTATGAAATATGTTTCATTGATGATTTAAATAATACTATATATACCACAACCAAATGAATTTTCCCAAGCATTAAAAATGATGGGTTTTTTGTTTGTTCGTTTGTTTTTTGAGACAGGGTCTCACTGTGTAGTTGAGACCAACTTGGAACTCACTATGTAGCCCAGGCTGGTCTCGAATTCACAGCAATCCTCCTTCCTCAGCCTCCTGAGCGCTGGGATTACAGGTGTACGCCACCCACCTGGCCTTTTTTTAAACAAGTGCTCCAAAATCCTGCTACATGCTATCAATATTTTCCATACCCTATTCACTTTGACTGGCTCCCAGGATGAATTGTTGATACTCTATGTCAATGTTGAAAAGCTAAAGAAGAATTGAACAGATGTGAAAAAAAAAATCAGACAGAAACTCAAAGCACTTCCACTGTCAAGGTACTACATAGTAACAGGGCATAAACAACTTTTATGTCATTTGGGATTTAGGATATCATAATTTCACCGCAATAGCATAAAAACCAAGATAGCTCATAGCACTCCTTTTCTTCAATTTACCTGCCACAGAATTTCTGAGCTCAAGCTTAAAAGATTAACACTCCAGAGAGTTGTGATTATTTGAGCAATCACTCAAATAATTATTGCCTTGGTTTTTTGTTTGTTTGTTTGTTTGTTTAAGAAAGGGTCTCGCTACATAGTTCAGGCTAGCCTTGAATTCACCATGCAGCTTGGGCTGGCTTAGAATTTGTGGCAATCCTCCTGCTTCAGCCTCAAGTTCTAGGATTACAGGCATGTACCACCATGTCCAGTTAACTACTGCCTTGAGAGGTATAATCTGTTGTTTTTTTTGTTTTGTTTTGTTTTGGGTACTAGGGATTGAACTTGGGTCTTTGCACTTGCAAGGTAGGCCACCGAACCACTGAGCTAAATCCCCAGGCCTGAGAGGTATAATCTGACAGAAAATTACACCAATACTTCCACGGCTGTGCAAAATGAAAACTAGCATCTTCTTTAGAAAATTCAAAGGGGTCAGCTTCTTAGGTTATCCACAGAAAAGGAATTCAAAACTTTCATTAAAAATAGGAAAAAAATTACTCTACCCCATACATAATACTAATTACTAAAAAGAAATCTGAGGTAGACAACAATGCATAGTTTAGGGGTGGGGTGCGAGGGACTGAATCCAGGGCCTTATGCATATACTAAGTACCCATTCTACCCCTAAACTACATCCTCAGCCTTTGTCCAACTACTTTTTTTTTTTTTTTGAGACAGGATCTTACAGGCTGGCTTTAAACTCACTATGTAGCCCATGTTGGCCTCGAATTTGCAGCAATCCTGCTTCAGCCTCCCAAGGGCTGGGATCCCGGGGGCGATCCAACACATTGTTGTGATGCCAACACATCACACAATAGATTTTAATGGAGGTTGCTGGTCCTCAAAAAATGAAGTGGCAGTAAATTTAACACTGTTCATTTCAAATGATAAACACTGTACCTGAAAAATGTAGCGTCCTAGAAGTATTTTAAAGATTTTATTCTCTTTCCATTTACCTCTTATCAAATTCACAAAAATATGACATTTACTAAGCCATTATATCTTAGTGTTGAGTGAGCATGGTCTCTAGAGGCAGCTTAACTGCCACTCATTCAAGTAATGACCCTGCTGGTTACAGTTATAATTTTGGGCAAGCCTTTTAAAGAAGCTCCAGTTCTCTGATCTGTAAAATGGGATAATAACTACCCTATAAGATCCACTGAACATTAAATTAGATAATATAGATAATATTTGTAAGGTGCTTTACACACACAACAGTTACTCAAATTTAAAATGTTACTCTGTTGAGCCGGACATGGTGGCACACACTGAGGCAGAAGGACTGCAAGGTCTTGACCAGCCTAGTCAGTTTATTAAGATCCTGTCTCCAAAGCAAAACAAAACAAAACAGGACTGGGGTTGTAGCTCAGTGTGAAGGCTCTGGATTCAATACCCAGTACCAGTAAACAAATAAATGCAAATTAAGACGGTGAGATTTTTTTTCACATACTAATTAGAAAAAGTTTTAAAGACTTGTAATATCCAGTCTCTGAAATACTTTGGGTAAACAGATTCACACTATCAGATGTTCATTCATTCAACACTGTAAGCAGTTACCTGCCTAGTTTCTGACAGGCAACATGGCTCAATATATAGAACCATCAGAGTTCACATTGTAGCTGGGAATTAATTAGCTCAATCTTTCTGGAGAGCACAGTAATTTGGTAATATCTATTGACAATTTAACAATATAGCTTCTTTTTTGGGGGGGGTACTGGGGATCAAACTAAGGACCCTGCGCTTTCAAAGGCAGGTGCGTTGCCACTAAGCTAAACTAGTCCAACAAACATTTTCTTGATTAAGCAATGCCACAAATTTATTTCACTGCAATGAGATATGCAATATGCACATGCAATATGCAAAATATACACACTTGATCAATATCCATGAGTCAGTCTGTCTGTATTTTTCTGAGACAGGGTCTAGCTCAGGCGGGCCTCAACTTGCTACTTATCCCAACGTGAACTACACAATAAAAGCCTTTCTCAAAAACACAAACAAAAAAATAAATACATAAAAGGCTGGGAATGTAGCTCAGTGGTGCTGCTGCCCACCTTGCAAGCACAAGGTCCTGCGTTCAATCCCCAAAAATAAAATAAAATAAAATAACCGCACCTTCCCGGCAAGTGCAAAGTCCTGAGTTCAATCCCTGGTGCCAAAAAAACCAACCAACCAACAAACAAACAAAATAAAATAAAAATTTAAAAAATTTTTAAATTTTAAAATTCTGAAGGCAACTGTTATGGCTATGAGGGGAATCATTTCTGCACATGTCAACTGTATTTTGTTTTTACAGTAAGCATGTATGACCTTGGTAATTAAAAGAACAAAAGCTTAAAAGCTTACAGATGCTCTGGAGTTGGTGCTGGATTCAATTGTCACTTTACCACTTACAAACTGAATGACACTGGATG